CAAGCACCTTCTTTCTCTTCAAAGGGCTAATATGGATATTCAATTCATATTAGATCCGTATGCTTGTTGTAGCTACATTATTAATTATATTAATAAGTCTCAAAGGGGTATCTCAAATTTAATGCGAGAGGCTATGGACGAAGTTAAAAGGGGAAATTTTACAATAAAGCAAAAGCTACAGCACTTAGGTCATAAATTTATTTCGGGTACAGAGATATCCGCCCAAGAAGCCGTATATTGTTGTTTAGGAATGCAACTTTCAGCAAGCAGTAATGCTGCAAAATATATAAATACTGGCTTACCTAGAAATCGAGTTAGAATGCTCAAATCAAAACAACAATTGCGCAACCTTCCGTCTGATTCTACAGATATATTTGTTCTTGGTCCATTAGATCATTATGTTCAACGCCCCAATGATCTTAATAGCTTGTGTTTAGCTGAGTTCATAGCATTTTATACATTCAATAAAATTGAGCCAAAACGAACGCCTAATGACACCGTTTATGCCCTTATTAATGGTAGTGGGTTTATTAAGAAAAGGATAAAACCTCAGGTTATTAGATATAGACGATTTAATTTAAATAGTGATAGAGAGAATTACTTTAGGGAAATGGCAATGCTGTATTTGCCATGGAGAGATGAGCAGGTAGAACTTATAGATAGAAATTGTGAAGAGGTGTGTAGTGAGAATCAAGAGTTGATAGATGATAATCGCAAACATTTTAATGTTATTAATGATCAGGAGCTACAGGACGCACTCAGGAGTGCAAATGAAGATAATTTAACAGAACAAAACATTGAGGAAGGTAATTTAGAAGGAAATCAGGCCGTTATAGATGATCAATTCAGAGTTTTAGGCTTGCCTGAAATAAATTCTCAATTAAATGTTTTAAATTTAGAAACGAATAATGAAAATTCAGATTTGTCCGATAATAATAATATCCGAATTATAAAACTTCCTTCTTTGATTTCTTCCGAAAATTTATTAAATATTATTAAATCCCTTAATTTAAAGCAGAGAGTTTACTTTAACCACGTCATGCACAATATGAGAACAAAATCAGTTTTTCTGGAGATTGTTGGGGGTGGTGCTGGCGTTGGTAAAAGTCGTCTAATTACAGTTATTTTTCAAGCCCTTTCAATGTACTTTAACAAAAAGCCAGGTTGCAATCCGACTTCTACTAAAATTCTTCTGTGTGCACCTACGGGAAAGGCTGCCTTTGGCATCAGCGGTTCCACATTGCACTCAATGTTTTCTCTTCCGATTAATCAGTCCGGTTCCAACTTAAGACCATTAAGTTCCGACTTAGTTAATACTTTACATTCGAGATTAATTGATCTCAAATTACTCATAATTGACGAAATTTCTATGGTAGGTGCCAAGATGTTTGCTCATTTAGACTCACGACTTAAACAAATTTTCAAAAGTCCAACAATATTTGGGGGAATTTCCGTCATTGTTTTCGGGGACTTGAGACAGTTGCGTCCGGTAGGGGATAATTGGATATTCGATTCCAATCCGTCCGATCCTTATAGTGTATTAACTACACCTTTGTGGGATAATTTCAAATTCTTCGAGCTAACAGAAATTATGCGGCAAAGAGGAGATCAGGGTTTTGCCATAGCATTAAATAACATGGCATCTGGGAAAATGACCCCTGTTGACATTGCATTAATTCGCACACGGATTGTCGAAAATGCAAATGTACCTATAGATGCCATACATCTTTTTAGTACAAACGCGGCCACTGACTTTTTTAACACATCTAAGCTCAACTCAATTCCCACTGTTCAACATATTTCCTATTCCGACGATTTTATCAAAGCCACTCATCTAAATAGCGCAAATAGGAGTCGGATTTTAGAATCCATAAAAAATTTCAAAACTTCTGAAACTCAGGGCTTATGCAACTCTCTTATTTTAAAAACCAGCGCTAAATATATGATGACGGTCAATATAGATACTGCAGATGGCCTTGTTAATGGAGCAACAGGCATACTTATGCAAGTAGATTTCAATGAATCCAATAGCCCTATTACTTTGTGGATAGACTTTTTGGAGGAAAGTGTAGGTGCAGTTGCACGTTCGAAATGTAGAAATCTTGCACAACCTTCTTGGACCCCCATTCAGAAAGCTCTTCGAAGCTTTCAATATAAGAAAAACGACAACGTTAATATTGACCGTAGGCAGTTTCCAGTTGTACCTGCAGAAGGTATAACTATTCACAAAAGTCAGGGAGCTACTTATAGCAAGGTGGTGGTCCACACATGCGCTCGTATGCAACGTGCATCAATATATGTAGCTTGTAGTAGGGCAACTAGTGCGTCCGGTCTTTTCATAATAGGAGATTTTCATCCTCCATGTCCTCCTCACGCTGAAGATAAAGTGGAAAAGGAATTAAGTAAATTGCGTTCAGCTAAATTGCTCCATACACACTTCGACTATTTAATAAATAGTCCCAATTTTAACATTATTTTCCACAATACACAAAGTCTTCATTGTCACCTTAGCGATGTTCAGTCCGATAAGTTGATGCTCAACGCGTCCCTTCTATGCTTCGTTGAGTCTTCCACATTCTCTAACGAAGTATACGAAATTCCTGGATTTAGCCCAGTCGTACGTTTGGACTGTCCTGTATCCAATACAGTACGACCTAAAAGGGGCATTTTTATTTTTATAAAAAATGAATTGTTAGGAAATGTTAGTCTTCAGCGTAGTTATCGTTATTGTAGTGGCTTAGATGTGTTTGAATATGCCGTTTTTAAGTACATGTCTTTAGGGGTTTTAGTTGTTTATAGAAGTCCCAATTATCTATTTTCTAAATTTAGAACTGAATTTGAAAAAATTTTTACTGACCATCCCTTTTTATGTAGCGATTCTTCAATTGTATTAGGAGATTTTAATTTGTGTTTGCGAGATATGACTTCTGCTAGGGATACCTATAGTTTTTTGCAAAGGACAGGCTTTAGTTCAGTGTTAGATTTGAGTACGTCAACAACCAACTGTGATACACACATTGATTGGGCGTTCTCAAATATTAGTGATAGGATGAGCGCTAGGATTTACCCAACTATTTATAGCTATCATGATGCGGTATCAGTTAGCGTTAGGGATATTACTTAGTTTTAAATAGATAGATTATGTGTATATTATGTATATATATTTTGTATTTGTATGTTAAGTATTTAATGAAAAATTTTTGTTTAATTTAATTATTTTAATTTTACTAAATTATATTTTTGATTATATTTGATTGACTTTTTAATATATTTTGTTTTTAATTTATAGTTCCCTTGTGGCAGACCGCACAAAATATATATTTAAATTTTTGGGGAATAAGGGGGTGCTCCAATTATAAAATAAATTATATAAATTGGGGCACCTCAAGTCGACTCGTAGGTCCCAAACTTTATGTCAAGGTGACCCTATTGCTCTTGCAGTAGCCTCCACGTGGTATTCCCTGGGTATCGATACTAGCTTTCTAAATCGGTAGCGAATTCGAGCGGCGCATTACATAAGTCATTTTTAACTATCCTGTAGAAAGGAAACTGTTATTCCAAATTATAAAATTACGATTTTTATTTATTTATATTTTTTAATTTTTTGTTTTCTTTTTTGTGGGAGTGTGTACAGGGTATTTTACTGTCGGGCTTGCTCGACTGTAGCGTTCTCTCTTGTTTTGTTATGGAAATGTATTTTCCATGTGCGTTCCCAAATAAGTGTTCATTCTTTCCTTGAATTTAGTGGCATTATTCACTAATCGAAATACACCCAATCCTACATAATACTATTATAATTACACTACGACCATAAAAGGTCTATTTTATGGAATCACAAATACCCTTCAATATGTAGAATACGAAAGCAAACTAGGGGAATATATATTTTGATTAATAATTAAAGTTTTAACCAAATATACAAGAGAAATACGAAATCATAGATAGCAGGAAATATACAAATATTAGTTAGAGCCTGAGATGTTTCGAATAGTCCCCCAAAAAGTGTTTCTTCTAACACAGTTTGTTTCTATTTCAAAACAAATTTTTGATTGATAATGGATTTCAATTATATTTTAATGCTAGTTGTATTGATAGTTCTGCTAAACTAAAGAGAAAATATTAAACAATATTTCTAGTTGATCGATAATGAATTATATAAATATATAATAATGGACAAATTAAAAAAATTAATGGACCAGAATTATATAAAATTGCCATAATGGACAAATTAAAAAAAATTAATGGACCAGGCTTTAAAACGCTTATATTAGGAGAGAATACATAATTTGCGCATTGGGTAAAAAAGAAATCTGGAATATAAATGTGTGCAAAAATATTTCAGGGTAAAAATAATTAATAATTGGAACTGAAAATCTTAACGAGAAATTCAATAATTTTCTATCGAGCCAGACGTTTTTCTAGAATAGGCAGATTTTAAATATTATTGTTATGTCCAGTAAGCACCATCTATTGCTTTCTTCACCTGTTGTTTATTTTTTTAAGCAATGCATTAGTCTTAGATATTATACACATTTAAATATAATCCTTAAATAAGTGAATACCCAAAACAGCACAGATTTGAAGGAAATAATAATCAGTTGTTTCTTTTTAATCTTTTATCCATATCTTACAGATTGTACCCTGCATTCATCCCAGCAGTTAATTTATGCCACTTTTCTCGATTCCCATTCCACTGTGCGGCAAGTGTGCGGGAGTGTTCAGCATCTTTCACAGACAGCTGCCGACCAGCCCGATGGTTATTGAACTCTATCCCACATACAAATAACAGACACACTCGCACCCAGTGGAATGTCTATTCAGGGCATAAATCTGCCACAAGAGTGTCGGCAAATTGTAATACAAAAGGCCTATATAGTATGTGCTGATCTGCATATGCAAAGCTCTAGCTTGTCAGCGGTGTGGTCAATTAGTTAATAGAGGTCAAGATTACTAACTATAGTATAGTTCGTAGAATAATAATCGTGGGAGGATGCACTTACCTTGAACATTAATGGATTGCGATCTATATCTGCTTCAGCGTTTTCACATAAAGTTTCCGTCTCAGATAGAAAAGCGAGGAACTGCAAAGAAAGGAACCGTTTAGGTTTCTATTGCTGGCAACTTTGGATATAATAATCGTACGCACCTGATCCATAGCACGATCGAACGATTGCAGACTATGCACGGCAGCATGCAACTGTTTGCCACGATTAATCACACCATTATTTAAGTTGGAGTAGCTGTGAAGGAAGAGGCAGCAATTAAGATTAGATAATAAGTGATTTTTTAATTTACATCCAACTTGTTAAAATCAATTTGACTTCGTTTTCCAATTGCTACATAATACAAAACTTTCTGGAAATAACTTTTTTCAAAATTTGTATAAAAACCGGAACGGAATTTTGAGCTTTTATTTCATTTATTTCAGATACGTAAAAATTCCACATAATCTTCCCTGAAATGGAAATATCTCATTTCTTAAGTCCCAGTGACTTTCTTAACTTGGTACGAGGCCTATATTTAAGTATGTACATTTTTTAAAATCAAACTTCTATTATAAACAGCTTTAATGTTTTTAATATTCTTTATCAATGTCAAGAGAGAATGCTACAGTCGATCGACGACCACAGTGGATACCCCTATATATAGGCGTCCATAGCAGATGCAAAAAGAAGAAGAGCGCACCATTCTTACGTTTCTAAGAATTGACCGATTTCAATCAAATTTGAAGCAGCGGTAAATATGTAAGTATATATTTATTATGTTTTACAGAGTTTGGTTTATGTAGCTTCAGAATTATGAGTATTGGTGAAATTTTGTAGCGGGTGGAGGGGAGAAAAATAAACACGTATTGCTCAGGGACTGAGAGAGTCTACATGAAAAGTTTGGTCAATGTGGGCTCGGCCGTTTCTCTCGATTTCTCTCGTCATACTGATTAACAATATATGTATACACTTAACGCGGTCGGAGACTTTTCCTTCGAACTGTTACATACTTTTCAGAAATCTAATGTTCCCTTTTTACCCTACGGCTATAGACTATGCTTTAAATAAAATTGATAGAGCTATGCTTTAAAGTAGTTATTCTATCAAACACATATCTATAAAGTCTTCTAATATTTATTTTTTTATTTAAAGGTGCGTCTCATTAACTCATATACTCGTATACATTGTGAGTTATTCCATCCAGTCAGCTCATTTAAATATAAATTGCACAACTTTTTGCATATCATTAGGCGCCAAAGCAACTTCGCAGCACACTCACCGTTGATTAATGGCTTCCGTCATCTTCTTGATTCTCGAAGTATCATCGTTGGGATAAACTGCAATTAGTTTCTGTGTCAAATCATTGAAGAGCTCAAAGTGCTGCTTGTTTTGATGCAACTCGGCATGGAAGGACTGTGAAAGAGAACGGGAGGGAGAAAGAGAGAGAATGAGAGAGTGGCATGATTTCATTTAGGGCTCCACTCACTTTCTGCTCCTTTTGCTGCGCCTCAAGGATATCTGCCGTAGTCGCCACTGTTCCCATTCGCTCGGCTCGCTGTTCCATGCGCGCCAACCACTTCTCGAGCTCTAAGCGCTTGGCCTCAAAGCTATATTGCCAGGAAGTTAGACATTAATAATTAGGTTGCACGGTAATGGAAGTGGAAATAAAAATGGAAATGGAAATGAAAATGAAGTGCCACCTACCGCTGTGAGTCGCTCAGCATGTTCTTCAGCTGTGCCGCTCGCTGCAGCACGCACTGTGAGGTCTCATCCCAATGCTCTCGGAGACGCGTGACTGTGGAGGAAACCGATTCAGACCAGACTAGGGTTAGTTATGTATGTACTCGCTTGTTTACAGTTGCTTGGTTAATTCAACAAATAACAACAACAATAATAACACAAGATTATAAGTACAACTTTAAAAAGTAACAACAAATATTAGCTCAACTATTGCTTCGGGGGGTTTACATAGCATACGGGGTCTTGGATCTGGTGGGAGGTGCCACCGCTGCAAACAAACCCTTCAGTGTTTCAGTTTATTGATCAGGAAATAATATATAACCAAGGTAACACCATGCGATTGAGATTAGCGTTGCGTTAGATAATTGCGATTCGAAGTGTTGGTCAGGAGTTTAGATTGAGTTTGATTTGGTTTGATTTGTTAGCTGATTGCACAGTGTGGTTAAAGAAAAGATGGCATTTGGAATTTGTTACCTTTCAAGCAGCAACGCATATAGTCTAAATCAGCTGAACAATGCGGTGCTAGAGTGAACTGTTTTAACTCTACAGTCGTCGAAGAAGGAATAAAAATATAGCAGAGTTACAGTAAAGAACAGTTGAATTTGGCATTACTTAAGTCGATATAAAGCTAGACAAGTTAGTGAAGAGTGAAGTTCTGCAAAAAAGCATTGCTCTTAAAAGATTTCAATGATTTACATTTAAATTAAGCATAATAAATAAAATGCGAACTTAAATAATAATTGGTAGAGACTTATAAAGTTGAGTATAGGGTGCTCAAAATTTAATGTGTAGTAAAGAAAATGTACATTAATCTTTATATTTAAATTATGGATACAGTGCACTACTGTAGGGTTGTGTAGGTCTATTCGCAATACATAGTTTCGATAACTTGTATATGCCTTAGATTATCTTCTGCAAATTAAAAATTAAATAATAGGAAAAATAAACAAAATAAAGCGTTTTTCTCACTCGGTATGTTTATTTAAATATAAAAAAAAAGATCCAACACAGTTATTAAATTGAAAATAAGTCCAACATAAAATGAACATGAAAATTTAATTTGTATAATCTTCATATTTATTCGAGGTTCTTATTAAATTAATCTATTTATTCGCTCTTTCGAAGCATTGATTTGATGTTGTTGATCGAATAAAATACTTTTTAATCGATATAATTAATTTATGTATTAAACTGATATAAATAATTGACGATATATTATATATTCAATCTTTATTTTCGACCTTTGCATTCATTCGTTATATTCAATAAAATTTTCAATCATTACATTCTGTTGTTATATTGTAATTTATTTTGAACTTTATATATTCATTGAATAGGCCAAATGTGTAATTTTTTAAAAAATTTAATTTTAATTTATCGTTAAATTCAATCTTTATTTTCAATCATTACAATCAGTGTTTACATTCAAGCAATATTTTTGATCGTTTAAATAATTATAATACTTAGAAATGAAAAAAAAAAATGAACAGTTTATTGAACGAATTGATTCAACTCATATATAGAATGTTGGTTTATTTAAAATATAAATAGATGCAATATATTTAATCATTATATTGAATGGGTGTCATAAATAAATATGATATTGATAAACAGATTTATTAAGACCTTTTTCATGCAATATAATGATTCTCCCAACCAATGCAATTTAACCAATTTATATATGTTTATTTATTAAACCTATATTGATTTTTTATATGTATTTGTTCAATTTAATATTTATTGATTGTTTTAACCATTTAACTATTTTTGAGATTTATTAAATATGTTTAATCGAACCGTTTACTCAACACACTTATTAAATATATTTAATATTATTTATATTTATTTATTATTGAGAAAATCAATGGGTGCTTTATTAATGCTTTACGATCATTTTTAAATTGATTCGCCTTATTTAATCGATTTCTTCATTAATAGATAAGAATTCGATATTTTATATACACATCACATATTCAATGTTTACAATGAATCGATAATTTTAGATAACCAGTCGATAAATTTACAACACCTACCCTGCATTCCGCCACCGGCTGCTTGTGTCATCTGGGTCTCATCATGGGACGAGCGGCGACGCATACGCAACTCCTCGCGCGACAGTCCAACACCTCCAGCGGCCTGCGCGGCAGCAGCAGCGGCTGCGGCAGCGGCCGCACGCGACTGAGCCTGATGCTGTAGGAGAGCGGCAGCAGCGGCCGATCCGGGCGACTGGCCCATATTGTGCATCACTTGGGGGGGTATGTTGCCCAGCAGTTGCTGGCGAATTTGCTCTCGAAACTCGCTGCTCAGCGGCATGGGCGGCTGTTGCGACTGCTGCTGCGACGCCTGGTGACCACCGGCGGCATTACCGGCGGCAGCACCTGCACCACCAACGCCACCAGCACCCACAACTCCAGCCAAATTGTTTTGCATGCGATGCCGACTGTATTGGAGTTCTAGCGGCAAGTTGCGGTCCAGCGAGCGCATGTGGTGCTCAATGGTGGAGCGCATCGATTGCTCCACCTGCGAAGCGGAGGTGGAAGAAACGGAGGAAGAGGAAGAGTTGTGTAGGGATTGCTGCTGGGCTTGCGCACGCAGCTGCTTCAGCTCCTCCAATGATTGTCGTGAGTCTCCGGCGCGACTTTCATCCAACGACAGATTCCTTTCGTAATTGGCGGTGCGCAGATTTACGGAACCACCGCCCAGGTGGCGGGCACTGGCTGCCAAACTGGCCTTAAAACTCAAGTCAAAATTGTTCTGCACCACCGCCTCCATGGAGCGCAAATTCATTTGTTCCTGCATCGCACGCTCCATGTTCCGTAAACCACTCTCGATGCCTCGCAGCGCATCTTCCGAACCAAAATCTTCTGTGGGTGAGACAGCGGTGCGTTTTCCCAAAGACTGCTGTTGTAGATTATTCTTTTTGGCCTCGCTGGCACGTGTGGGCGCTGGCGAGGGCACCGGAATTGGATTTGCGGCGGCAGCAGCGGCGGCGGCAGCGGCATTCTTAGCAGTTTGTTCACTCAATGCAGCCACCGCAGATTGTAGCACCAGCGGCGGTGGTGGTGGTGGCATCTCGAAGGGATTGGAGCAGCGACGTGCAGCCATGGCCTCGGCGGAGAGTGTGGAATGCTTTTCCGGTGGTGGCGGTGGCTTATCCTTGAATTTCAGACCTGCCAGTGGTGAGTTTTGTGCGCTACTGTGTGCCGAGCTATGTGCTGATGCAGGCTTCTTGGGGAGTGGCGGTGGTTGTCGCAAGGGCGGGGGCAGACCAGGTACCACCATTGTGCCACCATCGGGCAGACTCTTCAAACTATGTCGCTTGGGTGGTATTTCGGGAGGTGCTGCGCCAACAGCGGCCCCACGTGCTGGTATCGCGGGCACAGGGCGCGCATTGTGATGCGTCTGTGGTGGCAACGGTGGTGGTGCACCACCCGAACTTTTGTGTGGCAATGTGGCAGCACCGTGTTCCTGTGAATTTTGTTTGCGTAGAATCTGTTGAGCACGTAACGCCGCCTGAGCTGCCAACTCTGAATTGATACGTGGAATTTCCGGCCCCAATTTGGGCGCCTGTGCTTCATCGGGTAAAGTGGGTGGTGGTGGTGGCCTGGCAGTCATTTTGTATTTAGTAAGTTGTTGTTTTTGTTATTTTTGTCACTTTTAATTATTTTTTATTGTGCGCGATTATTTTGTGCGTTCATTTAACAAGAACCGCTTTTTTTGTTTTGTTTTTTTTTCTTACTTTATTTTATTTCGTTTATCACGTTTTCGGCCCATTTGATATGTAATTGTGGGGTAGTTGTTGTTGTTCTTTGCTCAATTAAAAACGCGCACTGCCTACTTTCGGGCGCCCGCAATACGCTCGTCGCACGCCAGCTGACATTTTCTGTTGACATTGGTAAACATGTTGAAGGCGTTGGCGTTGGGCAAATGAAACGACAGACCGGCATGCCAGCGGGCCGGTTAGTTGCATTCACCATTCGACCCCCAAAATGGGCAAACACTGTGGTCTGGGTTTGTTTATAAAACGTGCCGCATTCTCGCCATGGGCTGAGCGCAAACCAACACAATCCAACTCTCTGTCTATTCCTCTCAAACTCTCTCCCTCTCACACCCTCTCCGTACCATACAAGCTTGCCTCGCTCTGAATACATTACGCTCTATTATTAGTTGTACTAGCGCTAGTTTATTTGCTCTTAAGTCACACTCTCACGCTCTCTCTCTCTCTCCCTCTCTCTCTATGTGTATGATGCTCTCTGTATGTTGCTCTCTGGTTCTTTCACCACACTTTGTCTATCGTTCTGCGCCGGCTAGGCAGGCACAAAACACCGCCTGTCCAACTTTGTATACTTTTTGGCGCTGTTTTCGTATGTTTTTCAAGCATCTTAGATCTTAAAGTTGAAAGGCGCGTCTATAGCAAACGCACAAACATTCCAGCTCACAAGTATTTCGACAAATCTAACTTTGTTTTCTAATTAAATCTTAGAGCATTACTTAAAGACACATGGGCATCAGCTGTTAAAATATTTAACAAAAGCAGATAACGCTCTAGAACTGTTCAATGAAAATTACACTACTTTGCAGAAAAATTTAAATTATTGTAGTATTAAGAGTTTTTTTTTATACAGTATTCTCTTCATGGCTTAAAAAAATGGCATTTACTGTGATTTTTTTTTAGGAAGGTATTGTAGAAAAAGAAGTAATTAATTCAACATTTCAAACAATAAAATATGTTTGAAATAACATATTTTTAGTTAAATACATATAAACATATACTAACTACCAATGATTTAAAGAGATTTGAAGTGACACAATAAAGGAATTGTTTCAACTGTAAACCTAAGAAAGCATAGTGCTGATATATACTATATACATATCTAGTATTCGGTAATGTATTAATGTTGGTCGAATATCCGTAATTGTATTTAAAACGACTTCATTTTATACATTTTGTCAAAACCATTAGCCTTCGAGTCTATACACCTAATAGGACATTTATTAAAGAAAACTAAATTTAATGCAATTCTGTACATAATTATTTATAACAATAAATAGTAGTATAAATTGAAAAAAAAAAAGATAAAAATCTTCTTATTTATTTTAACATCCTATATTCAATTTTTCTTCATTTTTTGCTAAGCACTTAATTTTGATTTGTCCAAATACTTATGGCTCATGCTGTAAACAGCGACACACAAGACAGTTCAGTGCACGCTGAGCTAAACATGACTGCGCCTTAAACCGTGCAACAGAAACTTCACGCACAGCAACCTAAAACTTTGCATTCACACCTGCTCGGTACTATCATTCGCAACAACAACAATAACGGCAAAAACAGCAGCAACAATAACAGCGACAACAACAACATGCTGCATGTGATTGTTGTGTTGTTGTTCGAGCTATTGTTGCTGCACTTCTTTTTTTATTGTTATGCCCGCGTCGTGCAATTAAACGCCAGCAGCTGCATTTAACTTCTGGCACACCTTCAAATGCACACATACACACACACACACACAAAAACAACAACAAGACCGATTTACTTAGTT